TAACTTCGTTAACTTCCTGATGCACGCCCGCTCTCAGTTGGATGGCACATAGTAACATCGTTCCGGTTGTCATCATCCTTACGAAAGCCATCTCCTATGATTTTTTCCAGCCCACGAAAGACCTAATCCCCGAGCCGATTCTGCAACAGCCTCTCTAGATAAGCAACACGGGTACCTCTACGCACCTAGCATTCTGACGTCATCTGCGCCCCATGGATACGTTGGGAACCCGACTCAGGTGATGTCTAGTGATGCTCAGTCACATTGATTCACCGGAGAGGGATGTGCGGGTGTTATGTAGAGCGATATCAATGTTGTTGAGTTGCTAGCTGAACTTGTAGCTCGTGCACGTGAGGAACGCGGGTCCAGACCCCGCGGAGCAGGAATAAACAAATTGCAAATGACAGGTTCCCTCCCCGACCGAGGACATCGAAAGATGGAACATATACCAAGCAAGAACGACGATGGCATCACAGCAGCGAGTTGAGCTTTGCCAGCCGAGCTTGCTCAGCACCTGAGTCGGCATTGCACCCGCCACGGCCCACGTACGAGCTCACACCCGGTATCCTCGTCCTCGCCGACGAGCTCAGCTTACGAGGCCGGGGGTATGCAGCTGGATCCGGAGTCGGCGACGCCCGGGAGGGTCCGGGCAGCACAGAGAGTCGATCGACATGTCTGCATGATATACTGTGCATGTGTGCTCGGAGATGCACCGAGGTAGTACCGAGGTGCGAACCAATATCCAACCTTCGACGACATCGGATAGACGCAGCGCTTTAGGTACTTGCAGGTCGAGACGAGCAAGCAATACGTGTGTAAGTAAATTCGGGCTCAGATTTGGTTTTGGGCATGTTGCCATCTCGTGACCTTGGTTGACTTCGCAGCAGTTAAATCGTAGTACTAACTACTGGCAGTGACGGGCCCCCGACTCTCACTGTACCCGCCGGTCTCCATCTCCTCTGAACTCTTCGGCTTTGAAAGATGGAACATTATTATCCAGCTTTCTCCATGCCTATCGTCTTAGACACGCGCTATGCCGTCGAGGCGGGTGAGCCGTCCTTTGGTAATTAGGGCGAACTTAGCTGAGAATGGTGTGCCCGCAGGTCCGGATCCCGCAGCGCGAACCAAGTTGTGGGAAAACTGTTCCAGCAGGTTCTACAAGCAAGATCAAAATCTCCTCGAAACTTGGAAGGGAGACGCAGATGGGATCCTGATCTTTGTGAGTGCGCATATATGCGGTGCTTCTTCGGGCAACTTGTGCTAAATGTGAGACCTCTAAGACTGGCTTGTTTTCGGCCACCGTTGCCGCATTCACCATCGAGAGTTACAAGCTACTGCAACAGGACTCCGGGGATGTCACTGTGGCATTGCTACTGCAGATCTCCCAGCAGCTCTCCACCAACGGATCCAGTCCCATTCCGGCAGCCACCATTCCGCCGTTCCGTCCCTCATCCGCTAGCGTCCGCGTGAACATCTTCTGGTTCCTCAGTCTATGTCTGAGCATAACATGTGCTCTATCTGCGACCTTGATGCAACAGTGGGCTCGCAGGTACGCGCAAGCCGCACATGGCCGTTATGACAATGCTTTCATGCGTACCCTTATCCGCGGTTATCTTTTCGACGGCGTGACAAGGCTCCAGCTTTCCAATGTTGTCGAGGTCATCCCACTACTGCTCCACATATCGGTCTTTCTCTTCTTCGCTGGCCTCGTCCAATTCATGTTCACCATTCACCATGCCATCGCCATCGTGATCCTTACCTTCGTACTCTGTACCGCCGCCATCTATCTCGCGATCACAATCCTCCCCCTCGGTTGCTTCAACTCTCCATATCAAACTCCGCTGACTCCTGTAGCGTGGCGGCTATTCAGGCTGGTTTTACGGGCCATGGACCTTATATCGGCTCCTCTTCGACTCGGCACGAACATCTCTGTACCGCACCGCTTCTCAAGCACGAGGGACGCAGTGGAGAAAGTTGCCCGTGGAGCAGAGAGGCCTATCATCGGGGGCGCACTCAAGAAAGAGGCTGAGTCACTGGAGGACGATCAGCAGTGCGAAGATTTCCTCGCGGGGCTCGGTGGGCTTTCGGCCGTTCAATTTAAGGAGACCGTTGACGACTTCATCTTGGATGCGGGAGGACTCCTTAAGGAGATTTTCAAGCAGCAGTTCTATAGGTGGGGCGGTTCACTTAACGAGCCATCAGCTTTGTCGATCGAACGTGCCACAATCTTTTCGCGTGCCCTATGGAATCTGACGTGCTTTTCCCCACTCGGAACTCGACTCCTTCGCGCCCCGATGTTATACGGTTCCAGTCCGCGCTCATGGATTACTGTCACTATGCTCAAAACATCACCATCCATCCCCATCTCCACCACGGCTCGCTGTCTCCAAGCGATCGCTGCCTGTCATCGTCTGAACAACTTGCCCCGTCACCCGCTCGAGTATACAGTCTACGCTGGGCCTCTCGTGGCGCTCGTGGACACCCCTACGAATCTGGAACGGGAGATCGACTCTCAAGATGGCATGCATAGAAACGGCCCGCTCCTGAGTCTGGTCAGTTTTCTGGCGCATAGCCATGCACAATTGTTGGCATCCCAGAGGAGCGTTCCTATCAGTACCAACCTTACCAAGCTCGTCACCGTGGTCGTCGACATTCATGCCCAGATTATCGCCCAGCCCGGTCGTACGGGCTCGACGGTCTCACGGCGCGCCTTCGTGGATATGCAGAGCAGGCTCCTCCAACTTCCTGGACAGATAGCCGCGTCCACGCAGGGAGACGCGTTCCTTCGGGCCAACTACGAGACTATCATCACCGCGTTGCAGCCAATCAGTGAATGGGTTTTGAGTGGGGGCGCAGACCACCATACCCGATTCGCTTAGCTTGGAAGACAACAAGTTAAGTGTACTGATCTCGACGTATGTATCTGCTGACCCTGCTCAATGTATTCTCTGCAACTCAGGCTCGTTGTATTGCTACAGAATAGAGGGGAGCGGGATTCTAGGTAAACAACATACGAACGCACACTTACCTGCATTTCTTGTCGGGAGCCTGGGGTGATGATGGTGTCTAGTCTGAGGTCAGCCTCATTAGCGTCCTGGTGCGCGTCCGCTCTCAGTTGGACGGCACACAATAACACTCCGATTGCCATCACCCTTATGAAGTCTGGTGTGATATTTTTTCAACGTCCACGAAAGACTCAATCCCTGAGCCGAACGCTGCAGTTCCTTTATAAAGTTTCCTGGCGTGCATTCGAATTATGACGTACTCGTACATGTTTTGATCTATGTATGGCCAACTCCTATAGCGGCCTCTCTCTACATACAATAAGCAACCTGGATACCTTTGCGCACTTGGCATTCTGACGTCGATCCGTGCCTTGGCATCGCCCACGGATGCGTTTGGGACCGATGTCTAGCGATGCCCGGTTGCGTTGATATACCGGTGAGGAATGTGCGTGTGGTACGCAGTGATGTCGATGTCGTTGAGTGGCCGTATATAATAGCTGAAACACTTCTGTGGCCCGTGCACGTGGAGAACTCGGGCCCGGACTCCCCGGTGCAGTAGAATAAACAAAGCAAATGACGGGTTCCTCGACCAAAGACATCGAAAGATGAAACATACACCAAGCAAGAACAACGATGGTATCACAGCAGCGAGTCGAGCTTGCTCAGCACCTCCAGCACGCCCGCCACGAGCTCGCACCCGGTGTCCTCGTCCCCGCCGACGAGCTCCTTGCGCACCTCTGCAAGCAAGCCGAGCACGGCTTCGCGGCCGCCGTTACCCGAGCTGCCCATCGCGATGCGTGTACCCTCCCGCTTCTTCGTCGCCGCGCCGCTGGGCGTGCTGCCGAATGGCCACACGGCGAACTCGGCGAGGATGTCGTCGCACCGGGCGAACGCAGCCTCGCGCTCATCGTACCCAAGGCGCGCAAATGCGTTGTCGAGGACGCTCGCGGCATACGCGGCGCACGCGAGACACGCCGCACGCAGCGCACGCATCTGGATGCCCGGTGCGTCAAGTGCCGCAGGTGGAACCGCAGATGTGCCTGCAGTGAGCAGTGAGACGACCCGCGCGACGACGGCATCCTTGACGCGGAGGTCGGCAACGGGATGCGTAGCCATATCGAAAAGGAGGAAGTTCCGCTTCTCAGTGCGCAGGACACCCTTGTCGACGAGGCCCTTGGCGAGGCGTTCGCGGACCTGCTTGAGCTGGTAGCCGATTTTGAGCACATTCCATGTTTCGCCTGCGCATGGAGCGTGTCATGATTACGCCGGGAGAGGTGCCGCCGTGGAACGGGCTGTAGGACGTACCAGAGAGGAGGTCGATCCAAGAGTTGATTGACATGCGCTCCGTCTCTTGTGCTTTCATCATTCGGAGGGTCTCGTCGAGGATTGTCTCGCCCGTCTGACGGTCGTCGATGACTTCGACTAGGCGCTCAGAGAGAGGGAACCGACGTCGGTTTGGGTCTTTGTGCACGGCGATACGCCGCCGGAGAGCGAGTTCGACAAGAATGCAACCCCGTAATGCGTAGGAGATGTTGTCATTCCAAAAAGATAGATAACCCTGCGTACGAGTAAAACCAGGTGTCCGAGGACCAGTTGGATGCACTCACCTGACGGTCTTTCAACCCGAGAAGCAGGACCTCCTCCATAAGTGTGAGGCGGGGGGCCTTCCCGCCTGCCTTTGCCTCCTCATCGTCACGTTCCAGATCGCGCGGGTCGTAGGCGATTTTGTTGCCTCCAGCGAAAGCAGAGCCGGCATGTGAGGTGAATGTCGATGAGGATGGCTCTGAAGGTGAGCCAGAAACGGAGGCGTTGCCCACTCTCCGCCTGGAAAGCCCTGTTGCTTCACTCATCGTGCCGGGTTACTGTTCGCGATGTGGGACGGTGAGGAGAGTGTGAACGCTGGCCGGAGGAACAGCGCCAGAGGCAGTGCGCGCAGCCGAGGACAGATTGTTACTAAGAGGATATATGAATGTTGCAAATAGAGAGCCTTGCGAAGACTTCGTAGCTCAGCGGTAGAGCGTCTGATTCCAGCGCTTTGGTGCTTCCAGAAGGTCATCCGTTCAATCCGGGTCGAGGTCATTATTATTTTTCTCTCCGTCCTTTCCGACCTTCGCTAATTTGGCTGTAGTTTGGGGCTGGGGCATCATGTTCGCGTGCCCCCTCCGTGCCTATGACTAGGTGCCTATCACACAACCTGCTGTGTCAAAATCCGGGCATGCGTGCGCCTTACCATCATTTACTTGCACCAGGGTGCTTTTGTCATCTTTCTGGATCGCGAGCAGCCGGAGACTGCCACGGCGGCGGCTCTCGGCACGGACGCCAGCTCGGACGTCCCAACCGCCACCGAATTTTTAATCTGCCAGGAGGCGTCAAGCCCGCACAGTCTCGGGTCCTTCCCAGGAGGCTCATTCAGGCGGCGTCTTCCATACTCTGTACTCACCGCAGACCAGCATGCCTGTGGGCCCCGAACAAGTTGCACATCATGCGGTGCACATGGGCGACCTCCCTTATGATGCCGACCCAGTCCTCCGTGCTGACTCTCCCAACGACTCTCTCTCGACAGCGTATGGTCCAGACGAGACCTTGCAGACCGAGAAAGACCTCTCCGAGCATGAGTTCGTGCGCCGCATCGAAGAGACGCTACGCTTCCATTCTGCGCAAGCGGCTGAGGTAGCCGCGGAGCGATCACCACTCCTTGCGCCAGTTGAGGAAGGGGATGAAGAAGGAGAGAAAGGTAAGCAAGCGATTTGCCGTCTTTGTGCAAAGCCACAACGCGGGCTGAGATCTCACCCACACCGTTGCAGCACGTTTCGCGCATGCCATGCTTGTTCTGCGACGCGCCGTGGCAAAGGTCGAGGAGGAAGAAAGCGCCGAGGCCGCTCTCATGCGCGGTCCGCGTGGTATGCTGGAGGACCCACCAAGTGCAGACGACCTCACGACTATCATGCAGGGCCTTATGGGCCCTCCTCTGATGCACGCCCAGAGTCCTTCTCCCGACCTTGCACCAATGAGCCCCATGCTTTTGGAAACGTCACACACATTCCTGTACGACCGCACAATTGGTTTCGCAGCTGGGAAGGCGAAGCTCTGGATACGATGATAGGGCTCTGGGTGGCACGGTGCGTATCGCGAGCTGTAGGCGTTGGCCGCCAGTCACGCGCGGTACTGACGTCTTCCACAGGGCTCACGAGGAGGCTGCCTCACTTAATTTCCGCTCGCTATTCACGAGAATATCACACTGTATCTACTCGCAATTTGACCGATCCACGCACTTAGCATCCAATACGCAATTGACATTCATGCATCTCGTTCGACCAGGTGACCTCTACCAGGGTCTCGGCCCCTCGTCCACTCCCGCGTCTCTCCGAGATCGCCTGAACCCTTTGACCACCAACTTCGCCATTCATAAGCCAACGATCCGGTTGCATCGCAGGGTCTTGGCACCCCTGATACCTTTGGACCCTGGTCTCTAGAATGACACTCGGGAAGGTCTCGTTAATTTTCAGACGTGCATGATGTGAGGACGAGTGAAGTGGTGGAGGTACGTCCCTCAAATCACAGGTGTTGCGAGCCGCGTGCTACGTGCCGCACGTCGAGATATTATGAGATAATCCAGCGTGCTCAATTCCACTCGTAGGAAAGTTCCACTTATCTCCGGCCAGCTTCCTCGTAGCCCTTGCTCCTGGAGATGTTCCCATGCTCGTCAACGATTTGGTTACAAGCGTCGACGTGATCATCAAAGCCAAGTCGTCTACTATGAGTCGCACAACATCCTTTACACCTAGTTTGCTCCATCGGTCAATCCATTCGGTCATCTCGCTCTTGCCCGTTTGGCTTCGGTCTTTGCCTGACTCCCATGGTGGCTGCGTCACCATGGTTTTCACGATAAGCCCACGTTCGCCGTATAAGGTGCCGGAGGTCCAGCCAAAGACCCGCGCCACTGATCTCAGCAGTCATCCATTTCGTCATCGCAACGCGGCATCTCTGACATCTTTGGCTCTCCTGAACGCCGTCGGACCGGCACAGCAAGTCGGCCTGTACGTGCATGCACTGCCCCTCTACGAGCTTATCATGTGGCCGTTACTTCTTTGCGCCTGGCAAGCCGGCTGTCGCATCGGGTCACCTTCCGCCAGGATGGTTCGTACATGCCTGCTACCAACTTGGCGCACGCTGATCACTCCAGGTGCCGTAATCCTCGATGCACGCTGCACCAATGTGCCTACCCTCAATAGGCATTGACTCTTTCCCACTACCCGCGGTCCTCTTGAGAAATGGGGGTTCTGCAAGCCACGAGGCCGCAATAAGAAGCCGTGATATGAGACGCGGGTTCTGCCTCGCGCGTGCCTATAAGACTGTCCTTTCCTTTGCGCCAACGAGGCCTGCCTACGTGCGGGCACCAGGCAGGCCGTGTATATCTTCTCCGTGTATTCCTTCCACGCTTCTCCTGACTTGCAGCCCTGCAGAGCCCCACTCGCTCTCTCACCTGTCCCCTTTAGTACCTCCGTCTCTTGACGCGTCTTCGTTCTCTTCGTCATTTATACCTTTCTTCGTCTTTGTGTAAGCTTCAGGACCCTCTGCATACAGCAACATGATGCCGCGCCGCGCGCATACCCACCCTTCTGCGCGTCCCAAGGCTTCCTCCGTGTGTTTGGTGGCACTCTTATTCTTGATGCTGCTCGCTGATACTTGCCTCGGAGTAGACTCCACCTGCGCTCACCATCAAGACCGACTTGCCTATGCGCCTATCCCAACTGAGCAGTAGCAGTAGCAACAGCAGCAGCAGCGGGAGCTCTCACACTGTCGTCCCGCCCCAGATCCAGCATCGATGGTCCGAGCTCGTTCCGCCTCACACCGCGCTCACCTTTGTCGCACTGTATGACCCTGCGGAGGGCCTACTCACCTTCTCTGGCGCTTCTCTCCTCCCACCCGAGACCCCAGCCACCTCGCCCGACACGCCCGATACACCGACGGCGCGAAGGCGGCGTCCGTTCTCCGCGCCACGCACGCCTGCGCCCAGCACGCTCGCAGACATGCAGAGCCTCCTCGACGCGTACTTCCGTGCGGGAGGCCCCGCGTGCAGCGGCGGCCCTGCGCGCGCGTCGTCCACGTTTGACGGCCTCGCGCCGTGCGGCGCGGCCGCAGACACGGCCAGCGTCGGCTGCGCGCGCGAGAAGCCGTTGCCTCCGCGCCCGCCGCCGCCGCCGGACCGCGACAGCGTCTTCGCGTGGTCGTGGCTCGGACGCATGGCGCCGGAGGACCCGCGCGCGCCATGGAGCATGGACATGCTCCCGCAAGACGCAGACGCAGACGCGAGCTCAGAGCACGCGTGCGCGTGCTGGGCGGCCCCGCGCGCGGACGACAGCGCGTGCTGCGCGAGCGACGCAGACGACGACTCGTTCTACTACACGCCGCCAGAGCTCGAGGACCCCAACGAGGTGCGCACGAGCCGTTCCTGCCACCTCTCCCCCGTGCGATGGCGCTGAGTGTCCGTGCCCGCAGTGTTCCGCGTTCTCCGTCACGACGACGTCGACGTCCGAGTATATCGACGTGCCCACGCGCGAGTCGGTCTGGTCCGGGAGCGTGCTCGCGTATGCATACGCGCCGCAGGATCCGCCGCACACGCCGCCGCCGCCTGCGTCACCGACGTCGCCTGCGCAGGCGCTTCTGCACCCCTGGCGTCTGCTCCGCGCCCGCACGTCGCAATCCACGCTCGCGGGATCGCCCCAGCGGCGCTCGTCAAAGGCGGCGAGCATGTTCGCGAAGCTTGGCCGGCTAGGTACTGGCTCGCGAGACGACGGTGAGGCATGGGTGTGCGTTGAAGTCGTGCACACCGTGACACAGCGCCCGCTGCGGGACTACGAGTGGTAGGCCTTTTTTTTCCTTTCTTCGATTTCTTTTGCTGGTTCTGTTTCTCGCAGTGCTGAGCGCTGCTGACACCCTCCTTTCTTCGTTCCTCGCCCGAGCTGATCCACACATGACCACTCTTTCTGACGCTTCGTCTTTCTTTGTCCTCTTTCAACGTTGTGTTGCGCTCCCTCGTGAGGGAAAGATTATGATGCATGATGTACAATAATTAGACGAACATAGCATGAATGAAACGCACCAATTTTCCACAGGCGCAGCAGCGGAACTGGACGAGTCCGACTGTCGGTGTGATCATCACACTTCCCGGGCGTCTCACATGCGAACGTAGAAGCAAGTAGTGGCCATTGGTGACAACAACACACACACAACAGGTATACATAACCCAAAACAGCGCACCCCGCAGCGCTCAGCGCGGATAATACGCCTCTTCGTCCCAGTAATCTGATCTCGCCGCATTAACAACGCACGCTCGGACTGAGGACGTTCACACGCACCTTCTGTGATGCTCCTCCAGGCGAGATATATCACGACAACAGCCGCGGTCTCCAGGACTGTCGCGACGAACGAGCCGTCAATCCGAGCGTTCGTGCCATCGCAGATGGTGCGCGAGAGGAGGAAGTACGCGAGTTGTCCGAGCACGAAGAGGATAGCAGCAAGTGTGTAGTAGATCAGCGGGCGGAGTTCACGCAGCACCCCTGCGACAATCCATGCCATCAGAATGAAATAAAGCAACGCAGCGCTATGGGAGCGCGCTGAGATTAGTGCATATAAGTGGGTAACAAAGGGGGTAACGCACGCGCCGGGCCATATAGATGTGAGCACGAAAAGTGCGATCGAATGTAGAGAGTCCTTCGGGTTGCCGGGTTCGAGGGTCGTCGTGATCGTGAGGGCAACGTCAAGAGATATATAGGTAGTCGCAGCCATGAAGGCTGCTGCGAGGAAGTAGAATGGCTAGCACGTGAACATTAACGAGAGCGGCCGTGTTCACGCAAAATGTGGAACTTACGACCAGCGAGGACAGCGTACCATCCTCTACTACTTGGGTTGCAACAAGGGCATTGCCAAGGAGGGTCCAGAAGAGGGTCGCAACGGTACCTGCATGAATGCCCGTGATGACAACGAGAGCGGTAGTTCCCTGCTTGAGGAACGAGCCGGTGGATACAAGTTGAAGAGGAAGGGTGATGAGGTAGGTGGCGAGGAATGCGCGTAGCTCA